CGCGTTGATTGGACGCGACTTCTCGCGAGACGCGTCTTCCTCTCGTTGCACGCTGCACGTGTCCCGAATGAAACCGTACGCGCACGTGCGCGACGTCCGCGCACGAGCGAGCGCGGGGGATTATCGGACGCGCGCGTGTTGCCCCTCTCTGTGGGGTGTCTTTGAAGATTATATCAGCTCTTTTTTCCTTTCGCTCGCTTTTCGCCTCCGTACGAGACCCGATTCGTCGGGGGCAGCTCGTTACCCGTCGCGCGATACGAGTGGAGCGATATGAGGCGTCGCAAAATATCGGTTATGTGGAACATGCGAATTCAACGAGTTAGGCTGGATTCGTACACAGTAAAATATTTCTGCGCCCCGTATGTGGCAACTCTGACGTTAAGACACGTAACATGTTGCCATCGCCTGCAACGGGCATAATTCTTATTGTTTTATAGAATAACGCAGGTTTTACTATTCGCGTGATTCACTTCGTAACTTCACCTTTATATTTCACGTATGCAGCACGATCTGACGTAGTACTTGATTTGTCTTTTGACGACAAACGGAGAATAGAAGACATCTCTATGTGATATTTAAACCACATAATCTTTACGTTAAACATATACTTATATGTAAATTGTGCTATTTCAACATAAAAGATGTTGAATATCAGTTCAACACAAAATTCTCAAATAACACAATCACATTATATTAACCTACAGCTATGTTGGGAGTCAAACATAAAATTTTTAACAAGGAGCGATTTTAACACGAAAACAAAATGTTTTTTACTGCGTATTCATCTAAACGGTAGTGAGCAAACGTTCGTCAATTCTCCGTCGAAACATTTTTTCAATATTCACGAGGATGCTATATGTGAAAACTTTTCGGGCAAAATATCGACTTCTTTCTACAAAGTTCAGGTCGTATTGCATAAAATTGAGAAAAATTGTTCAAGTAAATATTTGCTAAGGAATATTGGAGTAGTTTATTTTACTTGGATTAAGTAAATATTACTGTAATGTAGCACACCGGAAGAAAAAGAGTGCGATAAATGCTTTTATACTGAAAGTACGCGTGAAAATGAATTGCAATATTGCTCGATGACGGCCCAAAATTTCAAAACCTACATCTCTAGCTGTCGATTAACGCGAATATTTATCTAATATAGAAATTCTGCAGCTTATACGTGTTCTACGTTATCGGTGCTTATCAAGTTGGTCGTCGACTTTGGCATCCCCTTAATACCAGATATAACGGTGACAAAACTGGCAATATATTCCAATACAGAAGCATTGAAGAATATTTTGACGGAGGGTTGACAGACGCTTGCCTGTCGTCGTCTAGATGGGCAGCAACCCTTAACGCTGCGTTACCACGTTCGCTGTAGGCGTCACGCGTGTATGACGCACCGATTTCTCACTTCAAGTTCATCTTTACTGAAAATTTTCCACATAAACGGGCTAAGCTTGTTTCACACAATTACATAGGAACAAATACAACATGTCCCATGGGGAGGGTACCCCGAATAAACCGTGGAAGTGAACGCGTTAACGCACGACGGACGAGAAAGAGTAGAGAGAAAAAGAAAGAAAGAGAGAGAGAGAGAGAGAAGGGTCTGGGATGATTCTCTTTCCACTTTTTTCTCGCGCGCACGATCGCTATTTATTCCGGAGGGGAGAAACAATTCCCGACTCTCGTATCACTTTGCGCGCAAATACGGAAGCTTTTTTTATCGATTTCGCGAACGGGACACTCGTCATAAAATCGCGAGCGTTTCACGTACGATTCGGCGGAACAGGGCGCCATTCGTGCGATTCGAACTGTAAAAAGCGTCTCGAATCGCGACGTCCGTTTCCGGGATCAGGCGAGGCGGAGCGAAGGGAGGAGGGAGAACGGGCGAAAATCGCGTTCCAAGTGGAAGTAACCTCGTGAATACGACATTCTCGACGGAAAGCGGTCGCGAGGATACGTCGGGCGGTGGTGCGCGGCGACGGGGAGAAAAAGAGCGTTCGTTAGGATTTAAGGCTGCCATAAATCCGCCCCGGCCATTCCTTAAACCCCTCCGCGCGAGCGGTGGTCAACCCGGCTTTTACCAGATTGTATTCCACGATATCTCCCCTTACGAGCCCTGTCCTCGAATTCACCCACGTCTCTCCCTCTCTCCACAGCGAACTTCCTCCGCCTGATCGCGACGATATCCGCCGACGTCGGTGGAATTTTTACATTCGATTGTCCGAACGCGCGGCGAGCCGAAAAGTCGCCGGACGAACCTGCGCGCGTGAATGAGCGAGGAGCCCGAGCGCATATCAAGTTGTGGGTATATTGAACGTAGCTACCGGACATCGCGCGTTGGATGTATAATATTGTACGTCTGTCAACACGTTGACGCCTGGCCGAAAAAGTGTTACACACATTTAAGTAATATTTACTTAATCCAAATAAAATCATTATTCCCATACTCCTCAGCAAAGATTTACTTGAATGTAGCATTTCTTTCTTTCAGTGTATATGCAATTATATTTTATATTAATTATAATGATTAATTAATTATGATTATATGTAACTTATAGCGAATTTTTCGGTCTACTCTATATGCATATATTAGTGCGTGTTTGATTCAGATAAAAATTTGCTAAGGAATGTTGAAATAATTATTTATTTGAATCTAGCAGTTTTTTCTATGTAGAATCATTCTCTTATCGCGATTATTAAATTACTATCTTTAATTATCGTCTCGCTTGCGATTTCCAATTAAGAGACTTGGATAATTGCTTATTACGATTATTAATATTTTCGTGTATGCTCTGCCGAGATAATTAGTTCTCTCGGTCTTTACAGTTACCGCTTCTTCCGATTTAATTTCCACACTTGTTTGCTCACTCACACACACATACACACACACACAAACACACGCACACACATACATGCACTTCTGCAGTTCCGATCGTAATAATTCTCCGAGGACGCCCGTCCCAGGGCGAGTGTCCAGATTCTTTCGGATTCGAGAATTTAAATTCTGGAATCTATATAAATTTCACCGGCCTCCGCCGGATCCGATCGCGCCTCTATTGCGAATCTGCGCATTATTATCTCGCGCACCGTCCGAAACTTCGTCCTTCCTAGCCGGGACAAACGACAATTTACGACCGGTCCCGATAGCCGCGGTTGCCCGGCGGGTTAAATCGCGTGAAATACTGCTTTCGGCACATTGGTCCGGCACAATTATTGATGGCACTTCGGAGGGAGAGACAGAGAGCGGGTCCCTGCTCGTTCGCTTAGAGAAGGCAACTCGACGGCACTCACCGCGATCCGGAAGGGCGCAATCAATGTAGCGTGCGGCGCTTCGATTTAAATTCATGAATAATTCCCCCCCCCCCCTCTCCCTCCTGCCTTCCGGCACCGAGCCGAAGATCGACGAGTTTTTCGGTCGCCTCGCGCCGTTTTTCCTCGGCCCGTTCGCGACCATTGATCCATCGAATTCCAGTCTCTCGCTCCGTGAACGCGCTCCCGGCGACCGCTAAATTTTCGTCGAGTCCGGATTTACTGCTGGACGTCGCCGGACGTTATCCTAGAAAGAATTGCGAAACGCAGTGCGATAGACCGCGTTATATTTAAATAATCTATTCGGGGATGATGATTATTCATCAGCGATTGGCCGCGTGAATAAACAATGTTGCACGATTATTCGCGTGACGTTCGAATAATTTGCGAGGAATGAGTACAGTTGCTCTATTCAATGTCATTTACTATGTATTGTTGATATTTACTATGTATTGTTGTTACTATGTATTTGTCGTTTGTGTTGGCACAGAGAGAGTGAGAGGTTTCTCTAGATTGAGTACACATATTTGTTTGGCATGGGTTTGTTTAATATAAACAAAAAAAAAATTAACATCAAATATTATTTTGTTTTAAATTAAAATATTTCATTAGAATAATAGAATGTTGTTTGATAGAATAAACAGTCCTATTCTGAGGAGATATTATTTGGTTTCCAAAAAAAAGAATTTATTTCATTGTATATCAAATATTGTTCCACTGAAACAAAGAAGTTCTTTAACAATTTTTCAACATAGCGTTACTTCTTTCAAATACTTTATTGTTTGTGACAACCATTGAAATGTTTGGATGAAAATACAAGAGATAAATGTTATTCGACGTAAAGATATTTATTGTTTGATAAACAACCTATTTGGTGAGTCAAACATTTACTTGCTCTATTCTGAAAAGTTTGTTTCAATTAAAGAAATGTTATTAAATCCACAGAAATCCGTGCCCGTCACGTTCAGGACAGTTCAGCTCAGCTGAGACTCGGCCGGCCGATTTTTATTTTCGCACGCGAAAACGTGAACGTGCGCAAAATGAATTCATTTCCGGCCGTCCACTGCGTGGGAAATCCAAACAAATCACAGCACCAGCGTGATTCCCGCCGAGGATCTCACCGATCAGCCCGACAATTATCCCGCCCGGCCGTTTTTCCCAATCGGGAGAACGAAAAGCGTCGGAATGGCCGGACGGTGATTTATTAATTGTCGCTCGTCGCACGTTACCGAATAAATTATGACGAGTGCGCGCTGATTAATTACAAGTCAATTAACGTCCCCACCGGCCGTCCGCCCACCCGTTGGCCCGACGGACGGGCGGACAAACCAACGAACGACGATGAAACGAACAACGTGAAATAACACGAGCGGCGTGTCTCCGCGTCGCGACACACCAACACTTTATTAAATCCGCCATTAATTAATCACGGCCCGGCCCAGCCGTGATATACCTTTTCGGCGACGCGATTGCTCGTATCGACGTCATTATTGTCGATTCATTATTCACGATCGTGCCAACGACGCCGATTTTTCGAGCGCGGCGAGCGACGCTGAATTTTGCATCGCCGTCGTTCCGCCGTCGCATTAATTACCCTCCCTCCGTGCCTGCCACCCTTATTTTTTCCGTCTACCGAACTGTCATTAATAAATGTCAATTTATTCGAATTGTGTGTATGTGTGTGTGTGTTGCAGAGGGAGGCCACGCAACGAGATGTGGAACGAGAACGCCGGCAACGAATGGAGGCCGAAGCTCGGGTACGCGAGGCTACGGCCGAGGCTGAGAGAGCGCGCTCGAGAGTCCATCATCTTCAGAGAGAGTTGGCCAGGTGAGAAATCCTGCGAGTTAACGCGCTCGAACATATGATTGTTAACACGGATAGAAAATTATGGTTAATTTTCACGTCAAACATATTTTACACATGGAAAACAATATTTTGCTGATAGTGGCGTGTCACATAATCAAGATGATCAACAGCTCGAGAAATTCCGGTGACCCAACACAGAAAAAAAGTTCGCTTGAATTTACCTGACAATGAACAAACCAAACGCGTTTCGGTCGAAGGAAGCGAAATTCCCCGGTTCTTACAAACCAAATTCGATTCTTACAATCAGATAAACCGTTTCAGTTTCCGTTTCCTTCGGCGAAAAGGTTTAGTTTATCTATTATCCAGGAAAATTCAACTAAACCTTTTTTTTCCATGCATTATGCCGACCTATACGCTACAAAGTTTCCACTGATGATTCGAGGTTGAAATAAACGGGCTATGAGATCGATACAGCGCGGTCGTTGGCGAGAAAGAATCGCCGCTTGCACGACGTCCGAGTGCCGTCGCGAAACGGCACTTTATTTCCTGTTCGCGATACGCTATATATGGTAAAAGTAACCGATGTAACGTATAAATAATGAGACCGCGGGTCTTTCCCGCGCAATAACCAGCACGAATCCGATGCTAAATCATCGATATTGGCTCTCGGCCAATAACATACTGCACAACCGCCCAAAATGATAACCTCACGTGGCCCTTCGTAGCCCACCCTCATACCTCTCACGCTCCGATTTATTATTACCGAATACCGCGGACCGTCGTCGACGATAACAGCACGTTCGATAAGCGCGCGGGGTAAAAAGTGGCATGCGGGATATGCGGCGTCGACTAATTAAATGAAATTTTTGCGGCGTCGCGCGACAAGGATTTTGGGAACAGTGTTGCACCGCTGGGAAATAGCACCGTGGTATTTTTTTCCGGATGCTTTCAACAGATCGAACGATCGTGTCCAGCCGAGTCGAAATTTCGGCCCTATGTTAAACCTTGAATTTTACAGCTTGGTACTAATGAAATAGCAAAATATGTATATTCATAATTTTAACTCTAATAATGTAATTTACTTCTAGTTATCTGATCCTGATAATGGTTTAAATTTCCGTTTTCGTTGTCTTAGCCGTCAAAATGAGTTGTTCAAGGTAGCATTAAGATCAAATCTGTGGAATTAAAAGTTTAAGAGAGAAGTTGATAAGCGTCGTTAAAGTAAATTTTTATTAATTTTTATATATACGTAAAAAGAGAAAATTACATATAATATAGGATTTGACAATCATATAAACCGTTAATTGTGGATATTAATGAAATATATCAATTATGTGATATATTTCACTAATGTTCATTCACTAAATCTCATATTCAAAATGATTACATCATTATGAAAAGTGGATGTAAAATATCTTTTCATAACTAAGCGTTATTAAGTCAATAACACCAATTTCATTATTAAATTATTAAATGTAACGTCAATTTCGTTATTAAGATACACTGAAATTCTCAAATTGGTTTAAAATACAATTTAGAATAAGTAAAAAGTTACATTGTTAATATATACCCGAGCACACCAAGTATTTTCCGTGTGAAGTTAATGTTTTTCAAATGTTTACTTTTGTAGTTTTATGCAAACGTATAATTATAGATTTGAAAAGTAATACACTTGTAACCTCGCTATTGTTAAAAAGAATTACGGTAACGATAATTTTTTAAGTTACATTTATGAATGGACAACAACTAACAATAACAAGATACTTTTAAAATATAACATACATTTTTTCCAAAATTGTCTAGTTTATAGTTATAAATAAATAAAGTCAATAGATAGCACATATAGTGTCAATCAATACAAGCAAGGCTGTTGTAACATTTCTTATACTTAGCGTCTCATTTTTTTATGTGCATGACTACTATGACGCTTGACTTATTTGACTTTTTCCAGTTGCATTTTATTATATCTGCAAATTCATATTCTACTGTTCCAATTCCAATGTCCTAATTCCATGCATTTGATGCTTCTATAATAGAGTAGCATAATTAAATATATGCGATTTGCCTCTATAAATACAGACAGATCTCCATTCAACAGTAACACTGTGTTTAGAATCCTGACTGTCGACATCGGGATAATTAAATAAGGAATATTGTGATATTAAATTTATTTTTGGCACGATGAATGTGGAACAGTTATTGTTCAATTATGTTCTAAAAGAGCCGCGTGAGTACGATAAAATTTTATATCCAATTTTTTCCCTGAATTTTTTCAGACTACTTTCGTTTTTATTTTCACTATTTTGTCAATTTCATATAATAAGGATGCTTAATATTCGTATGTTTCTCTTTTCTCTATTTTTGCACATGACAATGCACAGTTTTATTAGTACAATGAAAATACATTATTATAACGGTAGTTCAGCACTATCGTAAAATCGTTAAATATAACAATAAAATTCGCGGGATTTAATAACTATGAATGCTATATTAACATTTGCTATATCATTTGATATATCAACATTTTGTAATACTCAGACATGATACGAAGTGTTCTATAATGCAACTGGATTTTAAAGCAAAATTGAAATATCGAGTATATTTGCCGAAAGTTTCGCGCATTAGCTCGAATTGTTCTTTCAACTCTTTATCCGGGATATAACTGAGGCAATATTTATTGAAAATATAGATACTTATATGAGATCCATTCGTTAGCTTTATCGATAATTTCTCGTTCGCTGATCTTTAAGCAAGTTAAACACTGCTAAAACAAAGCAGTACAGCATACTTTAATGAAAGTTTCCCGATTACGCAAAAAATTCACTAAGAAGATTTTTTTTTGCAAAGATTGCTTATTTTACATCTCAAACGTTGTGCTGTACTATTATAGATCCAGTAATTAGAGAATGGCCGATGATGTCCTCGTGGTATCCAATAATACTCATTACCCTTGGATATTTGTATTTTATTCATGTCGCTGGCCCTTATTACATGAAAAATAGAGCGCCATATAAATTAAAAACCTTCATATTGGTATACAATATAATTCAGATTGCAACCAACGCCTGGATAGTAAAGGAGCATATACGTTTCGGTTGGTTAACGAAATATGGCTTTAAAATGGTTTGGAAACCCCTCGATAGTTTGAATACGCTGCCAGTGTGTTTTCGTATTGTATAACATTAACTATTGATTTTCGATCAATTGTATTGTCTGCGAGAAAATATAATAGCGAATATATTAATTATGAAGTAATATATGTATACTTTTTAGCTGGTGAGCGTTTTTTGGTGGTTGGTACTATTGAAAATTTTTGATTACGTCGAAACCTGTATATTCATATTGAGGAAGAAACAAAAGCAAGTTTCCATTTTACATGTGTACCATCATATATCAATGGTAATATTTACCTGGATAGGTTTAAGATATTATCCGGATGTGAGAGCAACATTTTTGACACTAATAAATTGTTCCGTGCATGTAATAATGTACACGTACTATTTATGTGCTGCATGCGGTCCAAAGATTCAACAAATGGTCGCTCCTATCAAACCTTACTTAACTATAATACAGATGGCAAGTTATATTATTACATTTTTTATGTTTTAATTTCATTACATTAGTTAATTGTTTTATCTGAAACATGTTGCAGTTTTAGTCTAATTGATAAACGTATTATGTATTTTATTTACATTTTATCTTTTCTTCTCCGATTCAGATACAATTTATTGTGTTATTGGCATATATGGCGCAACTTCTACATCCTTCTTGCGAACTAATACATGGGGCCGGATTCTATTGTTTCCTGTTCTTTGTCAATCTGTTAATATATATATTGTTATTTTATAATTTCTATAAGAAAACTTACGTCAAGAAACGGACATCTAAACCAAAAAATTAATTGAAAGGCAATTTTATTTGTAAATCTCAGTGATTATGCAAGTTATATATAGGGTGAGAGAACTTCATGAGGACATAGAACGGATTGAGGCGAACAAAAAGTCCTTCACGAAATAGGTTTAAGGTTCAAAGTTCAATAAACTGATGTGTCATTAGATAAAATAAGTATCATAGTATACTTGTAGAATAGGTCGAGTATTAATCTCTCTCTTCCTTTTATTCATCTCTTATCAATCTCCGTGGGATTCCTGCTTCAATAGCAGCGGGGAATGTTCCCCGTCGGGAAAAGGTTATCGGCGGTAAATAGGTTTCTTTATCGCAAGACCAAGTTCGCGGATTATTGGTCGAATTATTCGATAGATTGGTACATGCCGATCGAGTTCGCTCGCGTTCGCCCGTACGCGCGCGGAAGAAGGGCTCTCGTACATTTCTGTCAAAACCAACGATTCGTTTCGGCAAGTCCACGGTCGGGGAAAAAGCCTTTCAAACGATAGGTCCTTTGACGGCACCGCCGAGCAGACAGAAAAAAAAGAAGAATCTTCTGACATTTTCCCCGGGATCAATAACACACCGTAGAAATTAAACCGGCGGACCATCGGGCTCGGGGCTTATCGACTCTCGACTCGCAATAGAAATCGCGAGCCGTGCGCGGCATTCCAATGTAGGAAATTGCAAAACAACATACACGGTGACTCGCAGAGTCGGGTATGAACGGTCGAGCTCTCCGATACGTGATATCGTGTTTCGAACCGAAATCTCACTTCTATGTCAACCCAGCGAATTTCATTGAACTCGAAGAGTGGAGAATTTTCAGATGTAACATTGCGCAGATTATTATCGTACCTAAAGATGTCATGATCATAGGCCAAAATAATAAAAAAAATTATGAAAAAATTACAAATTGATCTACATTGTTATTATTTAAAAGTGACGCTAAAAGCTTGTCAATAATTCAGAATCTGGATCAAAAGTTATTCCACTTTAAAGGAGGTTGTAAGATGAAATAAGTTTGATAAGAATTCGATAAAATTTGCGCTGTGTATATATTAATAAATGATCTAACTCACTGCTCGTGCGATTAAAAAAAGATTGGCCATCTGAGATGTTTGTAATTATAGTTG